TTTTTGGATCAGATCTCTGATTTTTTATCTGATTTGGTGCTAAATACTGATAAGGTCATTGTAGTGGGGGATTTTAACATTCATGTGGACATTGAAAATGATAGCCTCAATGTAGCCTTTAGTAATATCTTAGACTCAATTGGTTTTACTCAAAGAATACATAACTCCACCCACTCCTGCCATCATAGATTGGACGTTGTGCTGACTTATGGCATAGAGTGTGAGGAAATAACGATCTTTTCACATAATCCAGTCCTCTCGGACCACTTTTTGATAACCTTTGAGTTTTTTATAACTGAGTTCTCGAGACATGAAAGTAAATTTCACTATAGTCTCTATCTATCTGACAACGCTGTTGCATCTTTTAAATCAACTGTTCCATCTTTACTGTCCTCAGCATCTCAGAGGCATGTAGCAGAGGGCAATATTTTCAGTTCTAGCCCCTCACAAATTGATGCTTTAGTTCATAATGTTACTTCTTCTTTACGTGTGGCATTAGATGATGTTGCCCCTTTAAAAAAGAAGGTAATTAGGCACTGGAAGTTGGCCCCCTGGTTTAATTCTCATTTACAAACATTAAAACAAAACTCTAGAAAATTGGAGAGAACATGGCGTCCTACACACCAGGAGGAGTCCTACTTTTCCTGGAAAAATAGTCTTGTGCTTTATAAAAATAAACTTCGACAAGCTAGAACTGCTTATTTTTCATCGCTAATTGAGGAGAATAAGAATAATACAAATTTATTTTCAGTACAGTTGCCAAACTTACAGAGAATCATAGCTATGAACCATCTATTCCCTTAGCCCTCAGCAGCAACGACTTTACGGGATTTTTCACGAGTAAAATTAATTCTATTCTAGTTTATTTCAGTCAATCAATCAATCAATCAATCAATCAAAGCTTTATTCATAAAGCGCCTTCCGCGATCCTGTCGGGAAGCCCAAGGCGCTGAACACGGTACATGAAAAAAGTTAAATATGAATAAATCAAAAATAAAAGCAATTTAAATATTACAAAAAAGGTAACATTCTAGTAGAAGACAAATGGGTAAAACAAGGGAAAGAGAGACCAATGAAAACAGGGTAAAATATCAACATAAAAGAGGGCCAAATTCAAACACGTTCAAAGAACGCCAAGCGGAGGAGGTGGGTTTTTAGGCGACTCTTAAAGACCGGCAGAGATGGGGACAGCCCAACTGAGGGTGGCAACTGGTTCCAGAGTGACGGTGCTAGGACTGAGAAAGCCCGGTCCCCGCGAGTACGACACTTAGAACGAGGGACAACGAGCAGGCCTTGGTCGGAGGAGCGCAGAGCGCGTGATGGGGAATGTCTGTTCAGGAGTGTGGCTAGATGGGGGGAGCACCACCCTGGAAGAAATTGTAAACAAAGACGAGGAGTTTAAAGTGTGAACGATAACAGACCGGAAGCCAGTGCAGGGAGGTCAGAACCGGACTGAAGTGGTCCCGTTTCCTGGTCCCAGTCAGGAACATGGCTGCCCTGTTCTGCACAACCTGTAGGCGACGCAGTGATGACTGACACAACCCTGCATATAATATAGAGAGTTGCAGAAATCAAGCCTAGAAATTACAAAAGCATGGAGTACTCGCTACAGGTGGGCTCTTGACAGCATAGGTTTGATTTTTGCAAGGCGTCTCAGGTGAAAGAAACTGGACCGGATCACAGAGTTCATGTGAGCATCAAATTTAAGTCCAGCGTCAGTTTTCACCCCCAGACTGGTGACAACTGGTTTTGAGTAGGGAGAAAGAGGGCCAAGATCAACACAACGACCCACAGCCCTGCTAGGGTGTCAATCAGGACGCTCTCAAGATTCAAACAAGCTCAGAATCAGAAATGAGGTCATGACCTTCAACTTCTCCACCCTTCATTATCTCCTCATCAGCATCATGTTCAGCTGATCGATGGAGTCGTGTGATTGGCTGCTGGGGCCTAACAGACAAGCTAGGGAGGTTTTGTGTTTGAGGGTCAGCTGCATTCTCCTTCAGCACCTCCTGCTGGATGGGTCGGATCTTGGTCTGCAGAACATCAATCATCCTGTAGTGGTTCAAACGCTTGCTTTATTCTGAAAATATTAGTTTCAGGCTAATTTAATTCAGAAGACTTTTCTGGTGTTTCCATCTGAAAATTAAAATAGTTTTTTTACCCTAAACTATCAAAGATAACTTCTGACTTGACTCTGACCTGCTGGAGTTCTGTGACTCGTCCAGATGTGCAGGAGCTGAAACCCTCTGCTCTGTATAGATAGAACATCAGGTTCCAGGAGCTGGAGGTTCTGATGGGCTCCGGCTCTTTTTTTTTACTCTGATAATCTGGATGGGCGGCGGCAGAACCCCCTGGTAACCAGCTGTTTTATTTGGGTTCAAGCCTTTCACACAGACAAGGTTCAAGTCTGCTTTATGTTAGGTAAAGTTGAGGGTCACCATCAGACCTTCAAAATAAAAGCCTTGTTCTCCACTCAGATGGACGAGTTAGGCCAACCATCTGCATGGGTCTAGTCTGACCTCATAAAAAATAAACACAAGAAACTATTAAGGTGTAGATTTAATGTTTATTATTCTTTAAGATGTCTTTGATATAAGAATAAAACATTTAATTCAGCAAAAACAGTTTTTATTCATCAGGTTAATTTTGAGCTGAATTAATCCTGTTTGTTTCAGATGAACTGGTGTTTTCTTTTGAACGGTTTTCACTGCAGGAAATTAACCAAAAATGAAAGTAAAAGCTGTTTTCGAACCAGACTGATAAACCAGACAGTCCAGCAGGTTTGGATCCACCTCCTGAGCTCCAGCCGTGGAGATAACCAGGTCACCAACAACCAACTGTTTCACCCAAAATACAAACTATTTTAACTGGAATCAGGAGAAGCTTTTGGACCACTGAACACAGGCCTGAAGGTTCATCCACCCTCAGCAAACTCGACACATCCTACAGGAAGTTCTGAGATTATTTAACAGGATTACCAGAGAAATCCACCTGTCACCACTAAATATGAGCTGGAGGACTACCTGCTGGCACCTTTTGTGTTGGTGGGACAGCTGGAGTCCTCACAAACAGCAGGTTTGATGTCATCAGTCTCGGAGGTGATGCTGGGACTCAGGAGAGCTCCTGTTCTCTCAGATCAGGCTAGGCAGCCATGTTTAATACCACAGAAACTAAGAATCTTCTTGAGAGTGAAGCACAACGATGAGAGTTTTGAGAGAATCAGCAACAAAAAACGCCACTGGGTGATATTATCAGCTGAAACTGAAAGTGGAGACAGAAATATCAGATTTCTGTTGGGTTCATGTGAGGAATAAACTTCATCTAACCCTAACCGACACAGCTGAAGTTTCAATCTCTAACATCAAACCCTCAGTCAGGACAGAAATGACCGTTCTTTCTGATCTTCAATCAACTCGTCTGCTTTTATTTAGCTTTTTTCTGTCTTATCAAACAGAATTTTTATTCCATTTAAGACTTTCAGACTCAGATTGACCCCCCACCTCTGAAGGTGAACCAGCTGATGTTTGAAACTATTTTGTTTCCACGGTAAAACGCGGTCAGAGGGACGCAGCTTCGGTTATGCTGAAGGATCACTTTACTCCATCTGTTCTGACACCAGATTAATATTTCATGACACCAGCTGCATCCTGGAGCACAAAGAGCTCCGCTTTTCTGACCGCCAGACACAAAAACGCGACTGTCGGTGTTTATTAGAGAAACGCGACCGAGAATCTTCGGCTCAGCTGAGAACAGAAGAGGTAACTGATCGGTAACGCGGTCAGACTGAAGTGAGACTCCACAATGCGCTCCAGATCCGTGATCCAGTTCCGTTTTTTACACTCGGCCGATCATCCCACTTTGAACTGACGGATGTCCACTGGAGCCAATCAGCGGCTGCCATTTTCCAAAGCCTTGTTTATTCTCCGTGACTGACCAATCAGAAGCGTCCTAACCAGCAGCGTGCGTCATCAGAGCAGAATGTGAATGTGGGCTGCTGTTACCGGAGCCCACTCTGCTCCCATCCCCCACGACCCAGCAATGGCGGCTGCTTTTTGCCGCTTTGTCCTTCTCATGTCCCGCTGGTAAAAGCTATGTGTTCAAACGTGGGTAAGAAAACAACGTGTTGTTCATGAGAATGCGCGTCAGTCACGAGCACATGGTTCTGTTTTCACGCACTTGTGTCTTCGCATGCCTGTTGTGTCGCACTGCTTTTGTCCCGTCCCTCCTCCACGGCGGGACTTTTCTCTCTGGGCACCAACAAAGGAGGAAATGAGGCCAGAAACCTCCAGCGACCCGAAGTCCGACAACCGAAGTCAGACTTCTTTTTCTTCGGTTCCTTCGACGGATTCTGGATGTTTACGCGAGTCTCGACGTTCGCGCACGAATTAATGGGATGTAGGAGTAAAAACATCCTTTGGAGTGTGAAGTGCGCACATAAAAAGATTAGAGGGAGTTTCAAAAATGGCTGTTTGGAAGGGGGAGGGGCGAGCGGCAATGGCGACGCTGCTCCACATCCGCTACCAACACCTTTTCTCTGACTGATAGCGTCCATTTGGCAGCCGGAGAACCTGTAAAAACACTTTAATCCACTAAAACAGCTGGAGCCGCGGAGCTTTAGCTCGTCTCCTCTCAAGATTTGGCGGCGTTCTCTTGTCGCCGCGGTGGGCGGGAAAATCTGTCCAGTCGCCTCCTGATTCCTCCAGACGAACATCAATCAAACTGACACTACGTCAAACCAAACGTTGTCTTTTCGATAAATGTAGTGCGCAGTTCGGTGCAGACTCGGTTTTCTGGAGTGGACAGTGTCGGTCGGGCACCATGGCTCCGGTTCCTGCCCGTTTCTGGGCTTTAATCGGTTTGGATTATTGTTTTAGCGCAGAAAGCACGCTAGCACCGGGAGAACAGAAGGGGGCGTGACCTCGGGGTATAGAATTTCCATCCATTGTTCCACTCCACCACGCGTGGAGAACACCTCTATGTGGCCTTCAGCCAATCAGCGTGCATCGACCTCCTCCAGGCTCCGCCCACTAGCCTATATTAGCGGCTCGGCCGTCAGCACCGTCGGCCACTGGCACAACATAATTGTCATTGATCCTGAAGCTGAGCGGAGGGATTTACTTTATTCAGCTTTCTTTATTTTATTCTGCTGAAATAATGGCGGACACACAGCTGGAGTCTGGCTCGGACATCTCTGCCAAGGTGAGCCGCCGCGCACCTTCCTCCTCCTCCTCTTCCTCACGGTCCCCTCACTTACGCGTTTCCAAGTCTACCTAGATTCTCTACTAAACCTTCCCGTCCTGGCTTCGCGCTCTTTCGGACTCACGCTGGTTCCGGTTACCGGAGTGAACCCCCCGGTGCTGAGATGGGCATGTTCGGTTAGAATGAAGCGCGGCTCCGCATCACGGAAGTCTGCGTCCGTGTTTCATTGTCCGGAGAGTAACAGTCTGCGCGCGTTCTTTGTTTATACAGGCAGCTCGGTTCTGCGCGCTCTGACGCGCTCATCCCGTCCGGACCGGTGCATCCATAAACGGCACCGATCGGATCTTCAGCTGGTTAACGGCGCCGCTGATCGAGACGGGTTTGTTATGCACATCCGCAGGGTTCCGATCGGATAGACCAGGAGATGAGTCCGGTTCGGAGTTCCAGCTGCTGAGGCGGAGTACCGAGGTTTTGTGCGGCTCCAGTTCGGTTCGTGGTGAGAAGTTGGTGCGTTTGAATGAACGCTCAGCGGAACTCAGGCTGTCAACTTTCCTCCTCCATCCTTAATTTCTGCTCCGGTTCTGGTTCTGTGTTCCAGAGGAAAACACTCATGCGGGTCCGACCCAGTTTGTTTACCGAGTAGCGGAGGTTTGACCGCTGCGGGTCCGTTCTCCGGGAAGCCCCCAGCAGCACCCGCTCCGCTTCTGCTTCTGTCTCCGCGGTTCGAGCGGGACGTTTCCATTTGATCTCAGGGGAAAGTTTTTCTTTCATATTTTGTAACGCACTCCTGCGCGTATGTGTGTGTTTGTGTGTGCGCGCGGCAGTGCTGTGGAGGTGTGAGGTGACGGAGCTGGTTTCCCCCTGATGGTTCCTAGATCGTGATGGTTCTGTTCTGCCGTTAAAAGCCCTTATTTGGGTTTTGTTCGGACTTGTTTGGTGAAACTTTGCCGGACTGCGAGCGCGGAGCCTCACGGTTCCGCAGCAGAAGGGTCGAGGAGCACCGAGCCGCGGAACCGAGCAGCTCTGGGAGATTATGACAAACGGGCATATGGAGGAGGTGGAGGGGGGGAAAGTTGGGGTTTCGGCATTAGCGCGTTAATCCGGGGGTGCCTGTTAGGTTCTATTTTTAGTTCAGGTCCGTTTTACGCACAGGCGCGCTTTTACGCGCGAGCCCGGCGCCGTTCGTCTGCTCTCAGGCAGCCGCCGGTGCTCCTAACCAGCCTAATGGATTCTAACCAATCAGAAGAGATTGTTAAACAATTAATCAATAAAACGTATGTGTTTGAGGTGGGCGCGCGCAGCTGTTTCCTGGTACCAGCTGGACCCGGAGCTGTTCTAACGGTCCCGCTCGGCCTTATTTTTACGGCTGCCATGTGTCGTCTTCCATTGTCCTTTCTGCCTTGTTAGAACCAGCGGCCAGCAGCAGCGTGCGTCTCACCTCCTCCCCTTCACCACCATCAGCCCCCTCCTCCCCTGCTCCTGCGCCCTCCTGTCATTTTAAATGGAGCGGTGTATCATGGGTAGTGCAGTTTTTTTCCCGGGCGTGTCTTGTGACATGGTGGCTATGGCGGCAAAGCTGGAGACTACAATACCCAGAGTCCCCCGGGGCCACATCAAAGTATCAGATTACAGCACATTATGGGGGAGGGGGAGGATCAGCAGACATGGTGTTTAAATAGGAAGCTGGATTCTGACAGGCTGAACAATGAGCAGCTGTAAGTAGGCCAGTGGGTAGAAGGGCAGGTAGCAGCTGGGAGTTATTTTTAAATTCTCTGTTTTGTTTTCAACAGGACCTGAAGGAGAAGAAGCTGGCAGAGGAGAAGGAGAACGGCAAAGATGCTGCCACCAACGGAAAGGTGAGACCCCCCGCTTCCGGTACAAAGCTTTTATCTCCTGCTCAGCGCCTCACAGCTTCCTGTCGGTTTCCAGGAGAACGAGGAGAACGGTGAGCCGGATGTAGATGAGGAGGAGGAGGAGGAAGTGGACGAGGAAGACGAGGAGGACGATGGAGAAGGTGGGGGACAAGTTTCACCTGAGATCAGAAATTTTGCCTTGAAACTTTCTAAAACTGGATTCTGGTCTCTGATCCTGCAGGTGATGAGGAAGACGAGGAGGAAGATGAGGACGACATTGAAGGTGGCACAAAACGGGCAGCTGAGGACGACGATGAGGACGACGAGGTGAGACACGTCGTGTTAGACCTCTGCTTGGACCGGCGCCGATTCACTGACTAACTCTTCCTCTCCTCGCAGGACGACCTCGAAGTGAAGAAGCAGAAAACTGACGACGACGATTGATGCGTTCCCGTCCCCCCCCACCGCGCGCCATCCTGCTGAACCACTTCCTGGTTCTTCACCTCTGACCTCTTTTCTACGTCACAGGTGGAGGGGCTGGAGGACTGACCTAAAAGAAAAATGATAATTAAAAATCCAACATGGTCATTAGCAAGTAGAGTTCAACAAGCATCCGCCGCAACCCCCCCCCCCCCCCCCCCCCAAATAAAAAGCTGCAAAACAAATTTTCTAGAGGAACCCGCCACCGCATCCGACGCAGAAATCCGGCTTCTTTCCAACAACCCCAGAGGAGAATTTGTTTGTATTTTTATTTACATTTTATATTTTTGTACATATTGTTAGGAGGGGGCAGCGAAGCGATCGCCAGACCAAATCGGTGCTTCTTCAACAAAAAGATTTTACTTGGTTGACCATGTCAGGATATTTCAACAGATGCTAGAAAAACGTGTAAAAACAAAAAAGCTAAAAACAGAACCTGTTAAGCCGTTGAACTCAGAGCATTCCAGTAAATTTAATGTATGTACTTTAGCTGTACCATAACTAGTTTGTTTGTATGGGAGGGAAAGGCCAAAGAAAAGAGCCTCTTTTCTTTTTCCTTTTATTTTGTTTTTGTCGGCGACTTTTTGTTTTATGACGGCCTGTTTTGATGTATGTGAGAGTTTGTTGTTTGACAATAAACCGGACTTTTATTTTGTGAGTTGTACTTAACATCTCCGGCTGTTTTATTTCCTGTTCCTGTTGAAGACGGGGGTGAGTTTCAGGGCCATAAAGGTCAAAACATCAGAGCACCTTAGTGGATAAAGTCAGGAAGTAAGTTTTAAACGTTGAAAATTTTTATTTTATCCACATGAAACTGGTCTGCCTGTGGGTGCAGGCACCAGCAGGGGCGGGCCTGAGTAGAAACATTACATCACTTATTGGAGACTTTGGCTCAGAAACATTAAATCAGGAGTTTCTGACCCAGATCGGCGGTTTGGGTTTCAGTGTGAAATTAAACAACATTAACAGAACGTGTTACTAGATCACAGAACCGGGTAATCATGAATCTGGTCTGCTTGACACGTCTGATCCAAGAACTGACCTAATCCAGATAATAAAAATTCATGCAAATTTATTTCTGACCAGCTGACAAAGTTCTGGTTCCAGATCCTGGACTCTGAACATGACCGCAGCTGAGTTTGTTGATCCAGAGCAGAGTTCAGCCAGAGGAATCAGAGCAGAATATATCAGACAGAACCTCGCCTCGTCTGAACCCCACAAGAACCTGCATGGTGGAGGTCAGAACCTGGTCCCTACGGATCAGGGTGGAACCAGCTGGGATCAACAGAACGACGGAGAACCGATCTGTGTTCAATCATGTTAGCTTTGGACCTAGAAACCACAGACAGGGCAGCTGTGACATCACCATGAGTGTGTGAATGGTTGAATGACAGATTGTGTTGTAAAGCTCCTTGGGGGGCTCCAGGACTCCAGACCATTTACCATCAATGATAAACAAACATGTGTCCCCCCCCCCTAAAAGTGTTTGTTTCACTTCCTGTTGCAGCGCCCCTCTGGAGACCCATTCACTGATATTAAACATTTTATTAGTTCCTGTATGAGGAGAATTAGGTTCTGTTCTTGTTGCAGAACTAGTGAGAGGAACCGGTCCAGCTGGTGGAACCAGTTAAAACTGGGTTTATGCTGTGTTTATAAAATCTGAGATAAAACTCGGATTAAAACATTTATCAGATTCAGGTTTGTGAGGAAGACGAACGTCCTACATTTCCCATCAGCCTTCAGGTGAAACGCCTAACTCACATCAGCCCAAAGGTCCAGGTACGGTGGCTGAAAAGGGACAAAACAGCAGGGTCATTGATGGTTCTGTTGGGCCCACTACAACCTGACCCAGAACTGGGTTTGAGTCGAGACGTTTCAGTGTTGGGATCTGTTTTCCTCCCAGGAACAACAAGCCTTTCTCCTGTGTGAAAGGCCCAGTTACTGAGTGGGAATAATGGGAATAATGGGAAAGAATAAAGCTCCATTCTCACAAACTGAAGCTCTGTTGTGGAGCCGGCTGCAGCGAAGGCCGTCGGTGCGTTGGGGTCACGTGAGAAGAAGCCGAACCACAGGGGAACTTCCTGTTTGACTAACTGTAACTCAGAGCGGATACCTGCAGGAGTTTTCCAGGTCTTCCCATCTCCATCCAGTCAGATGGGAGAGGCGGCTTCATCCCATTCACAGGAAAAATAAAATCTTTTCTTATGTTTTACTCATTTTACTGGAATCTGATGAGTCACCCTTTCATGATCAAACACCTCAACCAACCATCAGGTGAAGTGAGAAGAACGCAGGTGAGACAGGTGTGACCCAGTGGGGGGTTCTGGTGTCGGAAGGTCCAGGATTCAGAACGATTCACCTGAAACATGATTCCTGTGTGACCACACACACACACACACACACACACACGCACACGCACACACACACACACACACAAACCTGAGCCATATGTTCTGCCTGACTGATCCTTCAAATTAAAAGCCTGGCAGGTGTGAAACAGGAAGTGGATGAGTAGAACTTCCATTTGGTTTAAACAGGCTCAGATGAATTCTGTTTCTGTCCAGACTGACCTGAACTCCTGAACTAAAACCGGGTTCTGCTCTTGTTCTAACGCTGACACCTGAGAACCAGCTGATCCAGGTTCTAAGTGAGGTAAAAACTAAACAAAAACCAGAACGAGCTGCAAGTTTCACAACAAAACAAACTTCCTGTTCCTCCAGGAAGCTGTCGTTGAGTTTAGTTTGAAGTTTTATCAGTTTGTGATTTTCAGCTACTTTATTTTCTCTAATGCAAACATCCAATCAGAACCTGGGAGTCAAATGAAAACAAACCAAACTCTCCCTGGTGGTGGGTTGCAGCACCATCTTTAAGTCCCGCCCCCTCCATGTAAACCAGTGTGAGGGATGTGAATTTAAAAATCCAGCTGTACTTCTGTCTTTGCTGAATTATCAGATGTCTATGTGAAATTATTTCTACCAGATGTGTAAAAACATCTGATCGGTAAGGCAGTGTGGCTTTCATGGCTTCACCTTTCAGCTCCAGAAGGAGGCGGAGCCAGAAGGTTGAGATTAGGGTTCTGGACCTGATTCTTAACCCTTACTCGGTCCAACAGCTGATTGGGTTCTTTATTAATCTCCACAGATTAAACAGATGTTCTGGTACACACACACACACACACACACACACACACACACACACACACACACACACACACACACACACACACACACACACACACACACACACACACCCTCTGCTGCAGCTCCATTAGGTGTGTTTAATTATTGATCTCCTCAGAGTCCTGATGCACACACTGGTGTGATGTCATCATTGTGTGTGTGTGTGTGTGCTGTGCTGTGCGTGCATTTGTGTGTGTGTGTGTGTTAGATTGACTGATTTTGAACCTTGGTTATAAAAACAAGTTTAAACATTTTGTATGAAGTTCATACGTGCTTCACATGAAGGAATGAACACATGAATGTACCTGGCTGAGACCCAGATCCAAACAATGGTTCTAATGAGTAAAACCCACAACTTAAACATTAAAGTCACCAGAACTCACCTGGACTAGAACTGTGGAATGTCTCACCTGTCCACAGGTCTTCTTGTCCTCTCCAGAGGGACAAAATTCTCCAGATGTCTCAGGTCGGAAGGATTCCTGCTCCAGATGTTGACCAGGATCCAGGTCCACCCTTCATAGGAGTTCTGGTTGGATTATCCGTCTCCAGGGAGGTCTCCTGGACCATGGATGTCTGGGTCATGTGTCCACCTGTAGGGGCATCAACTGGGTTTGCTGTTTCTGCACGACTGAAACACAAATTAAATACATTTATTTTATATTAAACTGTTTCTTTTGATCACAGAACCATTTTTACTCATTTCTTAAATGTTTAACAACAACCTCACTAATAAATGTATTTAGTGTTTATGAGTTCTGAACTCCTCCTATAACAAAAATGAGGATTATAAGCCAGATTAATTCAGCAGTTTGAATTTAAAATATTTAAATGTCGTTGGTATGAATTTAACCAGGTTTAACACACCATCATTGCTGGTGAGAAGTTCAACACCACAGTTATCCTACAACACGCTGGAGGTCTCTTCTGGTCTGTGGCGCCCCCCGCTGGCCATTGCAGTATGTTTTAGGTCTGTCAGTATTCCCAGAATTCCTGATCCAGTCCTGGACTCTTCCTTCCCAGCAGCCCTTTTAAGTGGTTCTGATGGAACAGGACAGTAGAACATAAGATAGAAAATCCCTTTCCCGTCACCCAGAGGGAACTCCGGTGTGACCAGATTCCCAACAGGAGCCAGAAGGAGAATAAAGAATAAACAACAGAGAAATGACCTTTGACCCTTGACACCATACTAACTTTATTGATACAGCTCAGCCACAGGACCAAAGCGCTGAACAAATGAAACAGAATGAGCTGAGAAATCGGCCCAAATACAAACGGTTTCATCACGCTCGTATCGTAAGCCTCCTGTTTTGGTAACGGTGAGAATCAGAAGTGTACTTATGTCTGCGTGGACCTCTGCCTCTCCGTGACTTTGTGGTTAGATGGGTAAGGGTTAGAAACCTGGAAAAGTGGGAATTGTAAAGTTCTGTTTAGTTTCTTCCTACAAATATAAAACTAGAAAAACTCACACACACAAAATCCTAGTTTATACAGCAGCAAAAGTGTTGACCATGTTATGTGTGTGTGTGTGTGTGTGTGTGTGTGTGTGTGTGTGTGTGTGTGTGTGGTTGAACCCTAACCCTAACCCTGACAGGGACACGTGTTGCTAATTAGCTGTGGCTACAAACACTGTGATACAGGCATCAGGTTATTATTGACAATGGTCTGTTTTCCTTCTTTTTGCATCTGTCCCTCAAATAAACAATAAACAAACAAACGCCTCACCCAAGGGAAGAGGCGGGATTCAGCCAAGTCTGATGAAGCTCATTCCACAGAGCTGTGGTCTCCTCTAAAGCCACGTTTGGTCTGTGGGACAACCAAGAGCAGCGGGGATGGAGATGTCCACCAGCTCCCTCACCAACAAGGCCCAGCTGAGGATGTTCTTCCTGCAGCAGCAGAGGAAACCATGGTGACGGTCCAGTTCTACACGACCCTCCCCGAGTCCATCCTCACCGCCTCCAAGTGGTTCGCTGGGGCCGCTGCAGGGACGAGCCCCGACAAGCGCGTGTACAGCTGACCCCTCTCATCCTGGTCGTGGACCGCTCCCCTCAGGCAGGACGTGCAGGTCCATTTGGACCAGAACCTCACGCCACAGAAACAGCTTCTTCCCTCTGAACACCAGGTAACCACCAGTCACTTTGTTTCTGAGGCTCTTCATTCCTTATCTTTCTTTGATGCGTCCCACTTTGTATGTTTGCAGCGTTCCACTGAAGCAAATCTCCAGGAATGTGACGAGAAACGTGGTTCTGGTTCTAATCATCAACAGCATGAGTGGATGAATGGCGACTTTGGAGAGCTCTGACTCAACACGGTGTGAGCCATTCATCCTTTACTGAAACAGGAAGCTGCTTGTTTTGGTTTTCTAACTCTAGGCCAGCACGGCATGCACTTTGACCCCGAGGTCAGTAACAGTTGGCTTAGTGCAGAGCCAAGGACAAAACTCAAGGGATGAGCCATCCGACACAAACCAGCCAGCAGAACCATGTCAAAAGAACATCCCTAACCCTCGTTAGCATTATTCATTCATTCACCAGATGGTTTCACAAGTTTTCACTTATACAATTATTTGATTTTAGGTTATATTCTTTCTGATCTGCCAGAGGTTAAAGGTCAGGGGTCAGAAGACCTCAGAGTTGTAGTTCAGTAAAACTCTGTCTTGCTGCCCTCTGGTGGACACCAGCGGAACTTCAGCCTAGATCAACATGCAGCAGAATTATTAGAAAGCAAAAATGAGATGTTTGTGTTTCCCAGGATTTAAGTAAACAATAATTTTTACAAAAGTTTGTTAAAAAGATTTTTTCTTCTATTCTTGTCTTATTTCTGCATAATCCCCAAATCTGCTGATTTAATCCAAACAGTCATGATTCCTCAGAAAATGATCCTTTAACCCTAAAACTGATTCAGATCAAATAAAAAAGATGAGATGAAATATCAGGGACAGGTTTCTGACTCCTAAAGGAGGAAGTCTGATTCCTGATCCGGCCTACTGCTCCAGACACCAGATATGAAATCCTCCTGAGAGGAACGTTCATGGTTTCATGATTCAGACTCTAAATGTGACAACAATCAAGTCTCAACCTGAACCAAAGTTGCACCAATTCTCACTCTGCCTTAAAACGCTCCCTACTCCAATTATCAGTCTGATTTAAGGTGGAAATTATGCATTAAATAGAACCTGGACCTCTGAGATCCAAACCAACCTGTAAGCCATCCATCCATCCACCCATCCATTGTCTGAACCCACTTGTCCATGTAGAGTTGCGGGGGGACTGGTGCCTATCTCCAGCGGTCAATGGGCAAGCAGGCGGGGTACACCCTGGACAGAGTGCCAGTCCATTGCAGCCAACCTGTAACCATCAGATCTATTTATGACAGGATGAATTATTCATGTTGCAAAGACTCCACCTGCTAAGGAGGCTAAGAGCCCTCAAGTGAACAAGGACATCCTAACAATTGTATATAAATCACTGATTGAATCCATTCTAACTTTCAATATTACAGCTTGGTATAACTTTCTTACAGTTAAAAACAAAACACAACTGTCTCGTATTGTTAAATTAGGCAGCAAAATTACAGGTTCTCCTCAGATCCCACTTTCTGTTCTTCACGAGCGAGCAGTGCACAGGAAGGCTACCCTGATCAGTGCAGACTCAACCCATCCACTGAACCCACATTTTCATTTACTTCCATCAGGAAGGAGGTTCAGGGTTCCATTGGTCAAGAAAGGTGTCTATAAGAAATCATTTGTTCCCACCGCAATTACAATTTTGAATTCTTAAATTTTTTTTACGATAACATTCTAATACCTTTTAATTGTCTTTTTATGTATTTGCGTGAATGTGATGCCAATTGTATTGTAAGGCGAGCCATGTCTAAGGCAAATTTCTGCCTCAATTCGAGGTGGATATCTATCTGCGTGTTGTGACGCTATGAACCGCAGATCAGCCAGATAAAAATACAAATAACACAATAAAAAAAACTTGTTAGAAATGTTTATCAGATTTTGGCGCGGTGCCTTTTCTTCTCATCTATTCTTGTGCTTCGCCTTCTTTGTGTTTGAGCTAATTCCTGTCTGCTGCTGTCTGAGTCTTATGCACAGCACTGGTTAGCTGCCATGCTTTCCTTAAACTGTGCTGGTAAGAACATTAGTATCTTCACACATCTCTTGTAAGTGCAGCTGTGTTTGATCCAACAGCATTATGGCTCTATTAAACACGGACAAGCGGAGAAGGCGGGACGCCGCCGACAGCAGCAAACTCTGCAGAAGGTCGCGGTGGCGGTCGAACCGTCGGCACAAACACGGTTAAATGACACTTTGCTGTGTTAGAAAACAACTGTAATGCAGTTGGTGTGGTTTACGAGCTAAGGGTGGGTGCTAATGTTTTTGCCTGTGAGTAAATATTTAATATGAACAAAAACTGAAGCATCAGCTGGATCCTTGAACGCTCAGAAAGTTAGAAGAATGATCATTTTACATGTTTTAGAGACAAACTTTATTATTATTGCTGACTTTGACTATAAACATTCAACGTTTTGCCCTTAAACATGAGGTTTGTTTAAACCCGTGTGTGTGTGTGTGTGTGTGTGTTATAGAACCCAGTTTCTACCTTAAAGGTAAACTACCTGAGATAATAAACCACCACCCTAAAACCCAGCTAAAGATGAAATGATGCTTCTACCTTCAGACCAACACAAACAGCTGGTTTAGTTTGGTGTCTGAAGCAGACAAACCCCTCCTCCCTCTCATTAGTTATTTTGACATCATCACTGGGCTCACGGGCCAGAACCAAAGCTTAAATTCCCCGAGAACCTAAGATCAGGGTTTGGTTCTGATTCAGGAACTGAACCATTGCACCTTTGACTCAAAACAGCTGATCATGTAGAGGTACCAGAATACTGGACCAGTACCCGGTACCAGGTACCTGCTAACCACTAAACTTTAATAAACAGTTTTCTACATGTGGGAGCGCCGTGGTGGCTGCACGACTCATCCTGGTTACTAGGTTGTACGTGCGTATGTTTGCTCTTGGAGAGGTTGTTCTGAAATGATGTTTAGCAGTTTCAATGACAGATTCTGAAAAGGTACCAGAAAGGTTCTACTTTGTCTTTCTGTGAGGACGTTTTGGGTCACGGGGGCAGCAGCTAACCAGAGAGGCCCAGACTTCCCTCTCCCCAGTCACCTGGGCCAGATCCTCCGGGGAAATCCCAAGGCGTTCCCTGGCCAGCCAAGAGACAAAGTCCCTCCAGCGTGTCCTGGGTCTTCCTTTAGGTCTCCTCCTCACGCTCATCTCGATGGTGGACTCATGTCGCTTCCTGGGCACCACCATCACCATCATAAAGGCTCAGCAGACGATGAACTTCCTGAGGCAGCTGAAGAAATATCAGCAGTCGATGAGGCGGTTCTACACCGCAGTCGAGTCCATCCTCACCTCCTCCATCACAGTGTGGTACGCTGGAGCTACCACCAGGGACAGGAAGAAGCTGCAGTGTGTTGTACGCTCTGCTGCTAACTCCCCTCCATACAGGACCTGTACACCTCCAGGTCATTGAGGCGTGCAGGTTGGATCACAGCTGACCCGTCTCACCCTGGACACGATCTCTTTGACTCGCTCCCATCTGGCAGGAGGCTCAGATCCATTGGGACCAGAACCTCTCACCACAACAACAGTCTCTTCCCCTCTGCTGTTGGACTCATGACCCAGGGCTGCCCACTCCAGCTGCTTGGTTCCAGTCACATGACCGGTGTTGTGTTTGGGCTCTGATCAGCAGTTAGTCGTTCCTCTAGTTACTGCTCCTTTATGTTATTATTTGATTGTGTTTATTTCTTATTTTTGCACAAAGTACTGCAGCAATGTCTTAACGTGGTGACCCTGACAAATTAAAATAAAGCCTTCTGATTCCAGTTGGACGTGCCCAGGGAGGTATCCTGACTAGATGCCCGAGCCACCTCAATTGGCTCCTCTCAATGTAGAGGAGCAGCAGGTTTACTCCAAGCCCCTCCCAGATGACTGAGCTTCTCACTCTATCTCTAAGGAGGGCCCAGCCACCCGATGGAGATAACTAATTTCATCTGCTTGTGTCCGTGATCTCGTTCTTTCGGTCACTACCCAAAGCTCGTGACCACAGGTGAGGGTGGGAACGTAGATCGACCGGTAAATCAAGAGCTTTGCTCTCTGGCTAAGCTCTTTCTTCACCACGACAGACCGGTACAACACCCGCATCACTGCAGCACTAACCCACCTGTCGATCTCACGCTCCATCTTTCCCTCGCTCGTGAACAAGACCCAGAGATACTTAAACAATGTGGTGCTCACACCTCATTCCTGCCACGTGAACCTCAAGGGATTAACCATCAATCCTGCTCAGTCAACTTTCCAGAGTCCAGAAGGAGGTGTTCATGAAGAACTCTGATCAGAACCACCTCATGTTATTCCTTTTCATCAGGAGGAGCAGCAGCTCCACTCCTAACTCCTCCCTGGATAATAGCACTCCTCACCTGTAATAGGTCTGAACCTATTTGAACCTCCACTTCTTCCG